ATGGGGAAAAGTGTCTTGGGATAAAAGACCTTCTGTGAGAGAAGGTGGGAGAGATTTGGGTTTCAGAGGTTTGAGGCAGTCATTTCATGAGCCTGAGCAGGCTGCACTTTGGATCTGAGGAAAATACTAACAAGCTCTCAAGGACGTGTAGGAATTAGTGATACTATAAAAACAGTAACAGGAGAGTGCAGTAGGTGAATTCCTTGTTCTTCCTAATTATGATGAATTAAAGCTCCTTGATTCCATTCTCAAAAGCCATTCTTACTAGACAAAAGGCTTATAACTTCTCACTAGTTATCCCATGGCATGAATTCTTTTTAGAACTGTGCTTTTTTTCTCACTGCTCTCTCTGTTATCTTGTAAAAATTCTACCTCTTAGACAGAATGACCCTTTGATCATCTCTGCTCCATATATTTTCTCTCTGTTTCTGGGAGGAGGGGGAGGTGGAATAGGAGAGTTGTTTCATTTTTTTGCCAAAGAAAGCCAATGGACGGATCCAACACTAGAGAAAATGCACAAAGGAAGCTAGAATTTTTATGTGGTGTACACTGACACAGCATCGTTACCTGCAATCCCAGTCTCTGAAATCCTAAGTCTGCAGCAGAGAGACTCAAATCTCTGAGCTCCCTTCACCTGCCCTGCATTTCAGCATGTAAAATGAAACTAGGCTAGTCACAAAGTTGGGTCTGATGATGTTCACTACCTAAAGCACCACATTCTGGATGAGGGGATTAAATACACCCTCAATAAATTTGCAAATGACACCATACTGGGCAGGAGTGTTGATCTGCTTGAGGGTGGGAAGGATCCACAGAGGGATCTGGACAGGCTGGATCGATGGGCTGAGGCCAGCTGTATGAGTTTCAACAAGGCCAAGTGCCAGGTCCTGAACTTGGGTCACAACAACCCCATTCAACACTACAGGCTTGGGGAGGAGTGGCTGGAAGGCTGCCCGGCGGAAAAGGACCTGGGGGTGCTGGTCGACAGCTGGCTGAACATGAGCCAACAGTGTGCCCAGGTGGCCAAGGAGGCCAACGGCATCCTGAC